GGGGTTAGGGGAGAAAAAAATAAGGCAAACATAATCATCATCATCAACGGCGGTGGTGGTGGTGGTGGTCGTCGTCGTCGTCGTGGTTTTCAATAGGCGCTCCTCTGCCGTCCAGCGCACCATGTGGAGACTCAAGCTCGACAAGAAGGCGGCCTTTATCTACGATGTTCGTGAGTATTTTAAGCAGATTGAAAGCGAGGAAAAGCGTGAGTATATCAGAGAAACGTCACGTCGGCACAGAGCGAAAAAATAACAATGGAGCAGCAGCAGCAGAGGAAGGATAAGGAGTAAAAAAACCCGCAAACACTGAGAGTGTGGGCCCTTGTAAGCCCTCAGGAAGAAGAAGAAGCTGCATGCATTGAGTGAGAGGGCTCGCGCAAACGCAAACGCACAGAGAAAGGAGTGGGGCGGGGCGCAGAGAGGGAGGGAGAAAGGCGGCGTGGGGGAGACCAGCAAATACTATCACTCAGCTTCACCCTAGTTAGTAGTATAAGAAATAACAGTAGGAGATGTAGTAGTACTATCAGCCCTGGCGTCTGGCTAGACACCTACTATAGGTGAGTGAGGGTAGACAGTGCAGTAATAACCGCGCAAAGTCTACGGTCATTTAGGGCTTAGTTTAAGCGGGTTTCAGGCTGCATTGAAGAAAGTGGCTTCCGCCTAAAGCCTGCTCAGTCATCTCGACTTCCGTCTTGTCACCGATGTAATGCAGTGGAGGATTAGATTGAGGTAGGCAGTTGTGCGTCTTTTTCACAATAAGCTCGTGCTTAGCTCCATTCACTGTCGCTTCTCTTGTGGACATGTTGGACTTCATGGAAATTGATGGTAATACAACAGACTAGTGCATCATATTGCTATCAAAATAATAAGTTGATAACTCTTTAGCGCATTTCATCCACAGCATACAGCATTTAACCAAATGCATCATTTATGCAACGTTTGCGTAATGCATATCAGTATGCTCTGAACTATTAATTAGGCTTGAACTGACAGTTCAGAAAACGCCAATTTCCGAGTTAGTGCACACACAATAGCCGGAGCACTTGTCTATCTTACATAGACAAGCTGGGTTTTAAGAGGAGTAGTCGGCTTTCGAAACATTCTTATCAGGTCATTTCATTTATATGGGAGCGGGGTACCAGTAACACAGGTGGTCAATAGTGTTCGTCTTTTCTTACGACTGAGTCGCATGAATCGGGGAGGAAGGGGTCAATAAGAGAAATATGGTTACGCGGAGAAAGTTTGGTGTAGCCAGTCTTGGGGAGGGTGAAAAGTATGTTCATGCAGCTAAGTGGCTGTGGATCATGCCAGAAGTGAAGCCTGTAGAAGGTTCTTTTGCGCACATAACCCCGGCTTTCTTAGCCTGATAGGGATCGCGTCTGCTGTTGCTGGCAGGCGGTGATCCAGGGGCTGTGGCTAGTTTGGTGTGACCTTATAAATCATCTTGAAAGCTTCATTTGGATCCACGCGATATGCGAAATCAACAAGGTGGTAGAGAATTGCGCCGTTTATGCCCCTAACTTCAAAGTTGTTC